ATGTACTGTTGTTAGACTGTCCTTGGGCACACGGCAAACTCAATGCACTTTTTAAAACTGTTAACCACTCTTAAGTACATAAATCAGTATTGAATGTTAGATTTGCACTCCCTATGGCTTATTTAACAAGACAGTTTACGTTTGTAACTGCAAGTGCTTTTAGTGCATGTTTTTCCATTTGCATAAAGTTGTATAACTAGTTAAAAACTGTCTAACTAGTTTTTCACAATATTCTCAACCCGAGATGTATAAACTATTGTGTATTATTTATTATGATATTAATAGTAACACTTGGTGTTCATAGTAAACACTTGTAGTTTATTAGTTTAGTATTTAGCTATTTATAAAATTTGTCGCAAAATAAAATGTGATAGAAATCAATTGTATTATAAGTTATAATTTATAACATTCAATAATACTGTAGTTTATATATGTATAGTTAAAATTGATGACACTTTTTCCTTATTGTCATCTAATGTGACATTAAATAAAATTGAATTAAATGCAACTTGTTTTGCATGTTTGCTATTTTGTCATCACAGTAACTGCATAGACAAGTCTATTTATGTTGTTATAAATTTATATTATATAATTATCATTTATTTTTATTGTTATTTATAAAGGATTGGTATAATTTTTTGCAACAATCATTACAATTAAATTTTTATAATGGTTACAAAATGTTGAATATAACATAAATTTATAGCTAAATTGTATAAAGAATTGATAGATATGTTGTTGAGTTACTGTTACATAAATGTATTGACTATCACTAAAGAGTGTTAAAAAATAAATCACACATTTCTTACAACAAAGTGTAATTTCAATTATAATTACTGTTTAATGCCACTTATCAATGGTTATGGTAACTGATAATCGGGGTAAATATCTGGAGAGTGTATTTTCATGACGATAAGTGTTTTCTAGCTCTCAATTCAGACATTTATTTCTAAACAGAGTTCAGCAAAAATATATAAATTTCTACATTTGACGGAAATATTGAATGTTTATTCATATGTTTATATATTATGATTACATAATATAGTTAATAGTGTTTAATACACACGTACGTTCATTAAATATACATTGACAACATGCTAAACCTATGGTGAATTTACTCAAAATACATGTATTTAATTACTTATTTATGAAAACATAAACCAATTTTGTTGTGAAATAAAAACATTTGTGAAATACAAAAACAAATGAGTGACGAAAAAGATGAGAGCAATGAATGCGCGAATCGTTTGATGGATGAGACGGGAAACGAGACGCGGAGGAAGTCCTACGGAACCGATGACAAAGACATCGACGCCGGCGCTGCCGGCCATACATCCAGTGGCGCCGATCCCGAAGGGGTACCGCAATTGGATGGCCCGCACAGGCCATCGATCGCCACCAGAATCAGACATTTCAACGCACCTGAAGATCACATCTCATTCATAGACAGATTAATGTCACTTATTTTTGATTCAAGTAATTAATAAACAAAAATAGTTTATTTGTTTTATTTAAATGTACTGTAAATTACTTTTTTCTTACAGTTTGGGGTATAATATTCCTATTCATAGCAAATGTACTTCAAGTCATTTGTATTATTACGGGTAAGTCCACTAAAGTTTATTAATTATTTTACTATATCTTAATTTTATTATTACCTAATTTTAGGCGCCGTTTACATCAACGACTGTCCCCTTTCGCCGGCAATTCCGGCCGTACTTATAGTGAACGGAGCGATGAATGTCTTGATTTGTGTCGCAGAAAGTATTAAAAAGCGAATAAATATCAATTCAGATGTAATTAAAAAATTGGATTTAATAATGACATTATTAAAGATCGTATCGGCCGTCAGCTTTCTTATATGTTTGTATTATTTGTTACATTTATACAATCATTGTCATTTTATACACATTTTAATGCAACTTTATTAATTGTGTGTTCAATTTCTATCATGTTTATAACAGGGATGATTGTGGTCTACGATAGCTATTCACCAGATTTTGATAACCGCTATTCAGCAAATTATTGCAACCGTTACCTATACCTATTTGCATTCTGGTTACTAAGTTCATTTCTCATTATTATAGCCCTCCTATTTTTCATCACGTGTTGTTGCTGTTGTTTCGGGCATTTAATCAAATAGCAAATTAAACATTTATTTATTATGACAATTATTTATCAGCATTTTAATAATTAAATTAATTATCTTTTAAGTTGTATTTTATACATATTTTGATAAATTACAATTAATAAAAACTTTTAAAATATTTTGATTGAAACTATATTTAATGTAAAACATGTAAAACATTAAAATATTTATGCCTTGTTCAAACAACAAACAACAATTGGGAGACTGTTGTGAATCAAATGCGAAATAAGAAGTTACTGTATATAATATTATGTCTCACATATGAATTACCTTCTTATCACTACCTATGGATACAATGATTATTATGTAAATAGTGGGAAATGCTATTGCGATAAATCGTTCACATTTAATAGACGTTTAAATAAAACATTATTTGGCTGTTATTTGATTAGTTTCAAAGGTGTCAACCACTCGATGAACGCCAGTAAATATATTGTTATTAACTTTCATATTATTTTAATTATTATAAAAATTAATTTCGTTTTAAATAATACGTGATCGAAAGTCTTAACATTTTTACATAATAATAAATTCACATAAACACCAAAATGAGTGATGAAAGTAATGATCAAAATCCTACGGAAAGTGCGGTATTAGACGAGTCTAACAACGGGTTTGTGCGGATCACAGGACTCGATGAAAATGATGATAAAATAAGACCACAATCGGGACCAAAGACTCAGATCAAGAAGTGTTACGACAAGAAATACATTCTCATATTATGTAAGCAAATAAATATATCAAATATGTTTACAAATTAATTATTAACAACATGTTAAATCTAATGTTTAGCTATTGTTCAGTTAATTGGTGCGATTGTCTCTTTTATAATGGGTTTGTAAATTACTCTATTTTTATTTGATTACATTTTAATGTCACCTTGGCTTATTTTGTTGTCATTAAGGCTGCATCTATGTAGACGACTGTCCAAATTCACCCCGTATTTCAACAGTGCTTATAATATACGGTATAATAGTTGTGATGGCATTCATTTGGGAAAGAATTAGGACCAGAATTAGCCAAAAGTCTGCCACTATTAAGAAAGTAGTATTCATTACAACCAATGCCTTATACCTAATGAATTTTGGTATTTTTATTGCCTGTAAGTGTTATCACAATAAAAAACATTTAAAATATTTTCACCATTACAAAATAAACATGTTTTGTCTATTTTTACATATATTTATTTAGGGATTGTTGTGGTGTATAGCAGTCGGACACCTGATTTTGACGACACCGGCGCCGATAACTATTGCAATCGGAATTTGTATTTTTTTGCACTTTATTTGATATCAATTTATTTAATTAGTTTACTATTGATTTGTTTCTGTTTCTGTGGGGTATTATTGTTAGGGTTGTATAATATGTATAATCAACACAAATAGCCGCCCAATTACTTAGTATTTTTACATTCATCAATCATTTCCGGCAATTATTTACATGTAAACTCTTATCTCTTGATAGGAACTAACATTCATTGTTT